TTTTTCTACATATGTTGAGATACTGCTGCAGTTTTGTTATCTAATCTGTTAAAAGGGTGCGCTACAACGTCTTTTCAAATGTTGTACCAACCTTGCACTCCTCAGGTCGATTCCACCTGATCGCGGTGCATTAACTTTTTAAAGAAACAGACTTCACCTTTAGGGCAGCACAACCGAGCAGCAACACAGAGACGTCCTGGAGACCGCGCGCGCAGCCCTGCTCGCAGCCAGCCTCTCCACCCGGCGGTCCGTCTAGAACATGTCATCCGCACCCAAAGTCCGCAGTTCACCTCGGGGTTCCCTCTGGCCGTTGCGTAGTGACAGGTACCCGCCATCACAGCATCGCACAGGGCGGTTTCACGGCCCCGCAAACCCTCCGCGCTCGGCTGTTCAGCCCTCCCCCCGCCGCACTGTCTCTGTAGTTTGGCCTTTTCCGCAACGTCACGTCGCTGGAACCCAGGTGTGCAGCCCGCTCAGGTTGGCTTTTCTCACTCTGTAATATGCATCTGAGTTTTCCCTAAGCCTGTCCAGGGCTTGATAGCGCTTCTTTAAAAAAAAGTTGAAGTACGGCTGATTTACAATGTTGTGTTAGTTTCAGGTGTACAGCAAAGTGATTCAGTTATTAAAACAGCATATATGCTGCCTTTTCAGGTTATTTTCCATTATAGGTTCTTACAAAACATTGAGTGTTGTTTCCCGTGCTCTACAGTGGATTCTGTTGCTCATCTGTGTTTCATACAATGCCGTGTGTCTCTCAAGCAAATACTCTTCATTTAACCCTCCCTGGTAGCTCATTACTTTCTATTTTCTTTTTAATTTGTTTTTTATTGACATACAGCCAGCTACAATGTGTCAGTCTCTGATGAACAGTGCAGGGTCCCGGCCGTGCTTATATACACATATATTCATTCTCATAAAAGGTTATTACAAGACAGTGAACACAGTCCCCCGTGCTGTACAGAAGACCTTCTAAAACCTGTTTTTATCTATAGTTGCTAACATCTACAAGTCTCAAACTCCCAGATGTATCCCTTCCCATCCCCTCTCCCCCGGTAACCGTGAGATTGCTTACTGTGTCTGCGAGTTTCTGTTTTGTAGATGAGTTCATTAGTGTCCTCTTTTTTCCTTTTTTTGGATTCCACATATGATATTTACTTCCTCTTTCTGGCTTCCTTCACGTAGAATGATGATCTCCAGGTCCATCCACATTTCCTTTCAGCTCTGAAAAACATTCCGTCGTCTGGCTGGACCATGGTTGCCGTAGTCATTCACCTGCTGGAGAACACCTTGTTCTGGCAGTCACGCACAAAGCTGCTGTAAACATTCATGTGCAGGTTTTCGTATGGACAGAGGTTTTCAGTGCCTTTCAGTAAATACCAAGGAATGTGATGGCTTGGTCACAAGGCAACAATAGTTTTGTTGAGAAACCTCCAAACTGTCTTCCAAAGTGGCTGAACCACGCTGCGTTCCCAAAGCAGTGATGAGGGTTCCTGCTGCTCCGCACGTTCCCCAGCGTGTGCTGACGTCCGTGTCCGGGCGTGGTCCAGCCTCATGGGTGTGTGGTGGTGCCTCGCTGTTTTGATCTGCGTTTTCCTGACGGCGTATGCTGTGCAGCATCTTTTCACGTGACTATTTGCCACCTGTGCATCTTCTCCGGTGAGGTATCTGTTCAGATCTCTGGCCCGTTTTTTAAATCAGGCTGTTCACTTTGACCCCGCTGAGTTTTAAGAGAACGCCCCATATTCTGGGTAACAGCCCTTTATCAGATGTCTTTGCAAATATTCCCCCCCCCCCGAGCCTACCTTCTCATTTCCTTGACCAGCTCTTTGTCAGTCGCCTTGGTTGCTGATCATCCCGTTTCCCATCTCTGCATCTCTGCTCATGGGCTGCACTGGACTTCAACTTTGCTTTCCCCTGATGTACTTTTCAAGCTTTGGTATCAAGGCTCAAACTCGCTGAACAAAACAAGCGAGGGTGCGCTCCGTTACTGTCGGAAGAGTGTCCTCCTTGAATGTTTGAAGGAATTCACCAGTGAAGCCATGTGGGTATAAAGATTTCTTTCTGGCAAAGTTTTAAACTATAAATTCAATTTGCTTAATAGACGTAGGACTATTCAAATTTTCTATTTTTTCCATTATCAGTTTTGTAAATTGTGTTTTCCAAGAATTAGGTCTGTGACACCTGAACTGTCAAATATATTTGCATCAAGGTGCAAACAATGTTTCTTACCACCACTTTAATGTGTGTAGGAGCTGTAGTTACGCTCTCTCATTCCTGATGTGGGTAATTTGCATTTCATCTCTTTCTTAGTTTATCTCTTTATGATCTGCACCTAAATCAGTCACTTCACTGGGGGAGACAAGACGGCGATTTCTGACTTCACCGTTCCTTCCCACTTGTTGCCTGACGCCCGCTGTAGAGGAGCGCCTTCGTCCCCGCCTCAGAGCATCACCCCCGACTTTTAAAATCCACGGTGTGGTGCTCCATCACCATCACTGCTTCATTCTCCCTTGTTCCTCTCAGGGGAGAATCGGGCTGCCGGGGGTGCTCGTGGCTACGGGGTGTCATTGCTTGTGAGCCCTTTCAGAGCACAGAACAAGGACATCTTAAAAATCATTAATTTAAGCCAACATCTGCAGTTTAATCTAACCCCACAGGGCCCTCCTTACCCTCCCACTCTCCACCCGCACCTCCCTCGTCTGCATCGGGACACACACTTGTCTGCTCCACCCGCGCGTCTCTCTTTTTTAACACAGTAAGAGCATGGCGACGACACAACACGCCTCTGGCCCGCTGCCAGGCACGCCGTCTGCTTCGAAGGGTGTGAAGTCACAACCGCCCTTGGAGACGGGCAGAATCAGTCTCACCTTAAGGATGAGGAAACACACCCAGAAAGTGAGAGTGGCTTGCCCACAGCTAACGGGGGCGGGGGGGGGGGCAGGGAGGCCTGCCTGGAGCCCAAGGCCCTGCCGTCAAGTGTGTGGGTCCGGGGCTGCCTGCTGGAGGGAGGTTGCCCAGGGAGCCTTCGCAGGCCTCCGGTGCTGCTTCACCTGCAGGCCACCCCAGGTACGCGGGAGGAAGCCCTTCTCCTCCCAGACGCCACCCGCACGCCCCATGCTCAGGCGACACCCACGCGTGTCCTGCGCACACACGTGTGCGCGCACGTGGGCTCCCCCTAGCATGCTGCCTGCTCTCTGTAACTGCTGGGGTAGCCTTCACTCAGCACGTGCTCCACGAAGACTCATAAACGGAGAAAAGGACGAGGAGAGGAGCGGGTGGACAAGCGATGCGACTCCAGGACCGGAAGGAAGGGGTCCCTGAGGGGAACTCTATTCATCTGGAGCAGCGAACCCCCTCTCACCCAGAGGCTGCCAGCGCCAGCCCCCCAGGCCCAGGCTGACCCAGCTGGGACTCGGGCCTGGCTGAGGGCATCGCGGCGTGCGTGTGCCTCTTCCCTGCGCTGCTGCCCCCTCAAGCCCCCGGCCCCCCCCCCAGGCCCCCGTGGGGCTCACCTGGCGACAACTGTGACGTCAAAGCCAGGCTGGCACCAGGAGTCCAGGAGGGCCAGCAGTCTCTGCTGGAGGTCCGGGAGGCTGTCCACGTAGCGCTCCACAAGGTGCACCTTGTCCTGGAGGAGCAGGGGGGCGCTCATCTGTGGGAAACACACCCTCAGGCCTTCCTTCCTCGGTCAAGACCCCAGTCAGACTCACCTCCAACCCAGTGCAGGGAGCGGCCGGAGTGTCAGAACCAAGAGGGTCCAGAGCTGGTCCACGGGACTCGCCTCTCCGAGGGAGCCCAGGGCCCAGCGGAGCGTCTGGGGGCCTCGTGGAAGCCCACAGCCTCAGGCCTGCACCCCACGCCCAGGCCCCTTTGCACCACACGTGCACACACACGCCCCGCTGCTCCCTGGACCTCGTCCCTGGGGGCCCTGTGGTCATCCGTCATGAGGGTCAGGAGGCTCCCAAAGGCAAGGGGTCCTGCAGGAGCCCGCCGTCTCCTTGTCTGCACCGAGCTGGGGGTGCAGAATAGAGATCATCCACCAGCAGTGGCCCTGAGCCCGGCATCTGCACACGAGTCCCCTGCGTTGCCCGAGCCCTCCAGGAGGCCCTGAGGAAGCCCCGGCCATGGTGCTGGGCCTTGGGACATCCTGGCCATTCCCCTTGAGAGAACCAGGCAACAAAGGCGCCTCCCAGTGGCCCCAGACTCCTCCTTGCCCGCCTTCCCCTCCCTGACACAGTCTAGAGCCCAGACTGGACAGGGGCCCATCCTTCAGGGCAGGACTCCAGTGGGAGGTCCTTGTGGGGACCCCCTTTCCTGAGAGCCCGGACTGCCATCCCAGAGCAGAGGAAGCTCGGTAGGCTCCTGGAGGTCAGCGCTTTCCGAACTTGTTATACCAAAGCCCACTGACAGCCCAGAGGCACTCGCCGGCCCCTCCCCTCGGCCCTCCACACACGGCCAGATGGTCACCTGTGACCCCTGCCCGCCAGCTCCCCTGGCCTTAGCCTGTGGGAAGCAAAGCCCTGAGCTCAGGGGCGGGGACCCCCTAAACCATGTTTCTGGAGACCTAGGCATCATCCAACTTGGAACCTACACAGTTTGGACAAGAAGGACCCTCACCGTCTCAAAGTCGAGGTCCGGCTGCAGCTGCAGCTTCGTGCCCAGCACCACAGCCTGGGAAACAGAGGGGGCAGGTCACACAGGGCCTGGGGCAGGGGGAACAGGCAGCCTCTGGGGGTGCTCTCTTCTGCAGGGTGGCCCGTTCACCTCCCAGTCGCTGCGGGCACAGTGACGGGGCCTGTTCCAGCCACGTGGCCCCCAGGCCAAGGGCCTGGAATCAGGAAGCACACTGGCCCACACGCCCACCTGTGCTGGGCCAGCATCCACACACGG